AACAAGAAACATAAGGAGGCTTGTATTAAGCATCTGTACAGATAAAATAAGGAATTAACGACAAGCTAGCTCATAGTCTAATGGCTATAGATCTCCAGCATGGCAAAAGCAGTCAATCTTGCCCAGCACACTTGTTCCAGTACCTTTTTTCAATGATTAGTCTGGATTTCTTAAAACCAATGTTGTTCCTATGCTGATAGACTCAACAACCAACCATTCAGAAAAATCTCTTCAAATCAGTAACTGACAACAGGGCTGCCTCTCTTGTAAGTGTGTTGTTGACCACAAAAGGATTTATTTAAAGTAAAAGTGATTTGGAAAGGAGGATATAATATGGTCGGCTCATTCTTGAATAAAAACATGTTTCTCTCAAATCAAAGCCTGCCAGTCCTCTGAAGCTATGCTGCACATTACAGCACGAAGTTAGAAACAAAACTCCTTCAATTGAAATATTACTGAAAGGAAGGTTTTGTGGCTAGCAAATAAAACCTCCTTTGGAGACTGGTGGGCTGGCTGATCATTTTCTTGCTGTACCGTAGGGACTGACTGAAACACCTCATTCTTTGTAGCAGTATGTTGGCACTAGATGCCGAGCGAATATAAGAACTTGGTGATTGAGGGCCCCTGTGAGGGATGCCGTGGCAGCCAAGCGCCTCTCTCTAAACAAAGAGCTATTTCAGTGGTGCAAGATGACATGCTTCTTCCTGCCACTGAAAACAGATTTTCGTTGCAAAAGCTACCTGAGCTTGACATTGTGAAATTACTTGCTTATCCTCTATGTACCACAGAAGAAGCTCGACTGATCTGGGAAGGATACATCCTCGCCCAGGCTACATACAGCAAACAGCTACAGGAGCCCAGCGCTTGGTAGCAGGAAATGTGTGGGAAAGCCATCTGGTGAAGCCACTTAGGAACAGTGTGAAAGTCTTTTTTCATTCACTTCCTGACAAAGTAGTAATATGTTGCCTCATTTAGGAACAGGGATGCTTCTTGTTATTATTTGCATTAGTAGCTCCTAGAAGCCCAAAGGTGGGGACAGGACTCTTGCTATGTTTGGTGCTGTGGGCACATGTAAGAGGAGACCTTTCCCTATACCCACTCCCCCCAAATTTTATAACATAAAAGGATAGAAAGCATAGGTTGTGGGTTTTGGTTTTTTGTTTTTTTTTTTTTTTTTTTCAAATGAGGAACTGAAACAGATGGGAGAGATTGAAGGAGCTGGAAACAGAACACGTAATAATTCCCAAGCCTTGACTTTCTCGGCAAAACTGTACTTTGACTCCCATACTTTATCTCTGAGCATTTATGGTGAGCGGTATGTACCTTGGCATACTGCTCGCGATGTGCTCTGCAGTTCTAGGTAAAACCGGCATTTAGCTTGGTGTGGACACACTGCTGAGAGTTAGTACATGCTTTGCTCTGCTGAGGCAGGGGGAGGGAAATCAAATCAACATGCAGAAGGGATTTTAATCATCACTTAGCAAATTAAAAAATAAGGTTACTGTGGAGATCTTAAACTTGATCTTTGGCATCTGAATCATGTCTTTTACTATGAGCTCCCAGTCCAGCCACCTAATTTCCTCATGGTTTAATACTGTTATCACCCTGGCCAATATCTCTGCTCTGCTAAAAGCAGAGAACCATACCAAAGGCTGTATTGCAAGAGGAGGCAAAGTTTCTTATAGCCTACTTACTATTATTAGAGATGTAAAGTTCTCCTATATCATCATCTCATCTGAAGACCTCAAATCATTTTACGGACCTTATTTTAGCCTCTTGGTGACTCTGAGGCAAGACAGTTATCCCCATTTTTAGAGACTGGAACAGACTTAAAATCCCTATCCTTGAGTTTTCCTTATCAGTCTTTGCCAGAATTGAGGATGGATTTTTTTCAGTCCCATGCTTTAATTGCAAGACAGAGCTTTCCAGGTCCCTTTGCTATCCCTGTGTGGGTGTGCGGGACTGCGTGCTTGGTTGGTTAGCATTTGTACTGGGTTTAGACAAAAAAAGTATGTGCTTGGGTTGGCCTTTCATTTCTGGGGATGGCAAGGTTAAAAAAATGTCCTAAAGCTTAATTAGTTGATGAAAGAATATCAGAGCAGCAGGAAAGAGGAGGGGTAGAATGAAGGAGATGGTGGATGCTGCCCTGCTTTGAGATAAAAGAGGCTGAAGCCCAGGGACTCCAGAAGGAGGAAGCAGGACCGTGTGGGCTGGTAGCTCATGAGGCTGAGACTGTCATTTGACATATAGAGCCTGGGGCCAAGGGAATACCTTCCCCAGGAGAGAGATGATCAAGTATTGTGCAATTTGGCCATGAGGTGTTAATTGCTAAAAATTGTAGAAATTTAAATTTAAAGAGCTAGTACCTACAAGTGTAAAATGACTGGTACCAGAGAGCAACCTGTTTTTCTGTCCTGTGAGTGAAGCCTCTAGTAGGGTATACAGTGTTGGACAGAGCAGAGTGGGAGTGGAGGCTCTGAATAAGGCTTTCATGACATTATCTCAGACTTCTGATAACCCTCTCCTCCCAAACAACCCACTATGACACAAAATGCAGGTGCAAAACAGAACCAGGAATGCAAGGAGGATACCAGCAACACCTCAAAGTTCCCTGAAGCTGTAACAGCACTTCTTTGTAGGGTTTTTCCTCTCCCAGTGCTCAGTTCATGATCCCTAGCAAGACTTCAGCCTCTGGCAATACGGCTGTAGGCAAGCACATCCATACACCTGTATATGTCCTTTTTATTTATTGAAAGTCGAAGTAGTAACAGGAGCCAGAATTATGTGGGCGCAGGGTTTAAGCACTACATGCATTACCTCTTCAGAATAAGTGACCAGGCAAATAAGATTGCGATTGCACTATGGAGCAGCAAACGTAGAATACTAAGCAGCCAGTAACCAAGTGCTAATAAAATGTTGAGATTCTAAAAAGCTTCACCTAAAGCCCTGGGTGAATGACAACAGACCGTTCCCAACTCTGTTTCAATTTGCCCAGATTCTCTTGACTCTAGGAAGACTGTTTACACCCTTGCTATATCCATTGCTATATTTGAGTTACTAGCATGTTTTGGCCAGGTGACAAACTCAACAAGCACCACATCGTGTCTCAGCAAGCATAAGCTGTCTCTTATCAGTCTGCCTTATCTATACTGGAGAACAACAGCCATCTTCTCCAAGCTGGGAGCAGGGCTGGGCTGGAGCAGGGAGGGCAGCACCAAGACTCAACTTTTTCCTGGGATGTGGCAGTTCTGAAGTGGATGGATGAAGGCTATTTCTGGCAGTAATAGGGAGTTAAAGGAACAAACCACATACTTGGACATTGCATGCTTGGTGCACAAGGCTTAGCTGAGCAGCTCTCTGAGCATCTGGGCGGCAAGAGGCTCCTGCAGCACAAGTGTCACATGAGGATAATCCCATGTGGTTTAAAGCCCAGAGCAAGCTGTCTGGTTTTCCTCTCCTATCTTCTAGACTGATCTTTCAGTTTGTGCTTACACTGGGACCATAACAAATCTTACATTTCCTAGCCAGTGATGGAAATCATGCATACACAGAAAATCATGGAGGGTCACCAAATCTGATGGGAGCCAAGTTCGTAGCCCTGGATAAGAAACCTGACACAACACAGGAGCTCTGCAAGGGCTTGGGTGGAATCTCTCATCCATGTTGGATGTGAAATGTGCTCTGTCCAGAGAAGAGGTAAAAGATCTTCACTAGCTCATCTGCTACACTTGGGAGATATAACTTTAAAAACACAGATGAACTTAGTAGTGATCCTGAGTTAAGGAAGTTGAGGGTGTTTTTGGTTTTCTTTAAAGCCAGTTAAAAAACAAATCCACAGACTAAGTGGCTTTTTTAGTACTTGATGAGAAAATCTAGAGCAGAATGAGGAATGATGTCCTGAAGTGCCAGCACAGAGTGTTATACCCAAGACCTGCTCTTCTCACCTCTAGAGGTACAGGAAAACTGCATACCCAGATCAAGTGAAGGCAAGTGAAGAGACCTGTACACTTGGCCCATTTCAGAGTCTTCTGGCCCTAGTGTTGTGATCGAGGTTTTGACCATCCCTTGGTCAGCCCCAGAGATTCACCTCTGACAGAATCTAGTCTGAAATAGACTCTCACAACACTAGATGGGCCTCTTCAGCATGAGTCTGTGGTGTGTGTTTTTGCTCTATGCTATTTTGGGGATAAGTAACTGGTGAGAAGAAAATGCTTTCATCTGCTGGAGTAACTGTGTTCTCCAGCATTAAAATTATGGTTTGTACTAACAGTGCAGTGGGGAGAAAAAAAACAGAGTTCTTAATCCTAGAAGACAGGTTAACTTCTGGGGGAGGAGGCATAAACTGTTAGATCTTTTGCTATCAGAAAGAAACCCATGCTGGAAGTATTCGGTCAATTAGGCCGATTTGTAGCAACCGCGCTATAAATCCTCTTTCGTTCAGAGGCAACTTAAGCTCTCTGCTGAAATGTGCCATTCCAAGGAATTTCAGTAGGTTCTCACACATCTAACAATGGCAAAGTTATCTGTAGGGACACACCGTCTTAGAATGACGTGGTATGTTCAATTCTACAACATTATAGCTAATGTATGTCAAAAAAGGGAGGCCAGCAAAAAGCCTTTCACCTCACTGTCACAGATTAGCCTTTTTCTTGCGTGCTACATTTGTTCAGCCTATTTGTAAATTAGAAACAGATTTTTCTACATCAGTCTTAGACACAAAAACACTTGAGACACCTATGCAGTAAATGACCACTCAACCCAGAAACATAACTGTTTTGCCAGTGAAATGCAGCACTCCTTAAAGGTGTAAAATTCAGTTTAAAGGCAGCGTGTTTTATAGGGACAACTGTGTACTCTGACCAGATGCAGAACCATTTTTTTTCCTTAAAGAGGAAGCTTTCCCACTTATTTGCCTGAAAGGTGGTTTATAGCAGAGCTGCGAGCCTTTCCCGTGACCAAGGCGGCTGGGTGCCTGCCCTTGCTGTGCCGCGGTGACTCACCCTGCTGAGCTGGTCCAGGAGTCTTTGGTTCTGTTCGGAGAGTTCCTGGACGGCCCGCGTCTTCTCACGGTCGGCTTCACGCAGGTGACCCTGCTGCCTCTCCAGCTCGTCCTGCAGCTGCTTCACGTCGCTTTCCAGTTCAGACACCCTTCCTTCCCATTCTCCTTCTCTGTTCTCAAATCGCCTCCTT